TCTATGAAAATACACAAACATTACAATTTGACATAAGCCTCGGTTGATTTAAATTTATAGGAATTGTTATTTAAAACGGAACTTTTATAGTACACATAAAATTAGGTTGTGATCAAATAAAAGTTTCAAATAAAAATTAGTCAAGTGTCTTTATTTAATAAAAATTATTTACATCCAGCGCATTGCAATAATGGAGATTGCTTTTCTGGTACGTTTTCTGGGTGAAGTTCACTTAAGATGAGAATTAAGTAATTTATTTCTTGATCTTTGCATTAAATTTGATTACATATTTAAAAAAGTCAGAAGGTTTATCTATAATAAGCTTCATTGCAATTTTCATCCTAAACTATCAATTTTCACTATCAACATTTCTAAAGGACTTTAGGATAGCCAACTTTTAAGTGCCTTCTTACTGCAAAGAAACTACAGTCATAAAATGCGAAATTTAATCAGCAGCGTGATAGTAAATCAAACGTTGTTAACCATAACTTTATTCCGAACGACTTCTTGGTCTAGATTCGCCTGTGAAAGGAAGATATTGTTCCTTCTACAGAAAAATTTCTGCAAACGATCCGCTGCATTTCAGAAAACATTCGTACATGTTCATTTTCGAATGAAAGAAAAGCAGGAAAAACATAGAATGTGAATTTAGTATAGAGAGGCACAGTTTTAATTAGTATATCTGAATTAATACCGTTAGAGTTATTTAAGTAAAATGTGTTATCACGAAAATTAATTTTAAATTTACTGAGTATGAAAGTTTGACAATGATTAGTTGAAGGCATTTGTAATAGTTTAAAGATTTATTTTTTTCTCTGAATTTAATACTTCAGAGCAACGAATCGCACCTTATTCCCTTTGCAGAAATATTAGAATTTTCATTTCAATAAAGCCTCCTGGGAATTTGAAAAATTTCTTAGTATATGTCAAAATTAAAAATTCGACATTAAGTATAAACGGACAGACCAAGCTTTGTTCATGGTTCTGTAACTTCCATCAAATAAAAATTACATTTCCAAATTAATTAAGTTCAAACATTTTACACGAAAGTTATTTCAATGCTTCAATGGAAAAAAAATTACTATCTCTGCTCCGTAACAGTTTTGTAACTTAACTAAATATTGAACATAAATTAATAAAATTCGCATAATACTTTCTTGTTTAGATTTTATTGACTGAATAATTTTGTCGTTTTGTTTTGCATATTAAAAACTTTCTCTGTATTTGATCAGTTCAGCCATAGTGATTTTGCTTACATTTCTTCTGCATTACCTGGAAACGTCTGTAAATTCAGTTTTTAAATTATTTATGTAAAATTCCTTAATTTTCAAATTTTTCATTATTTTTTCGTCTTCATTCATTCATCATTTCAATATCTGAATATAGTTCTTTTTCGTTGTTACATAAAACGAATATTTTTGTGCCTTTTATGTAACATTTTTATAACGTCTTTTGAAACAATTTTAAAATTGTTCATTCTAGGAATTGCTTTCTGATTATTTACACTTTTTATATGATAAATGCTACTTGCGTATGTCCTGGGAATAATGTATATTAACTAATGATAAAATGATGGTACAAACTAAATGTTAAGCATATGATTTTTGGCATAAATTTAAAACATTTATTTCAGTATAAAATTTTAAAATGCATGATGAGATTAAAAAACCGTGATCTTTGTTTTTATTGTTTGCGTAATACTCTGTACTAAGGTTTATTAATGTGGCTTTTCTGATATGATTACAAAAATAAGCCTTACCATGACATCCTAATCATATATTTATGAATCACACATATTATAACTAAAACACTTTTGACGACATAATGAAATTCCAATTTTAATTTTAATATATTTTCGATTTTTCCACTCCAGTTTTAATATCAACTCTTTTTTTAAAAGCTTACAAAATAAATATAAGTATATAACAGAAGCTAAACAAAACTATATAGTTGATAATGGAACGTGATTCCGTTTTCATATCTTTTAAGTAAACGTTTTATAGTGTTTTAGAGTGCAGAAAAAAGACAGAGAGAGAATCATTTATAAAGATGCATCAAAAAAACGTTCATAGCAAAATAAATAAACAGAAATATTTCGATATTTTGGTAAAATATTCCCATACTGATGAAAGCTTACCTAGCAAATGAAATCCAATAAAATAAATTGCCATTTATTTTTACTCTGTGTCAATTTTCGTCTCAATTTCACAGTTTGCCTGAAGAGATTTGCGCATTGCTTGGGTAGGATTTGCGCATTGCTATGCCCTTTTTCCACTGGTATTTTTTCTTAATATGTAAATGGAGATCGAGAGACAGCAATACATTATTTATGAAACCCTGCGTTTCAATTTATATCAAGCTACTCTAACACAGAGCCATTTGCAGAAAGAAAGTTAGATTTTCTCTTTTTTATTCTTCCTCTAGGCCAGCGGTTCTCAACCTGCGCTACGATACGCGAAAAAATAATCAATAGGACTCAAAGTAGCAAAGAATTTTAATAAATGTTCATAAAATCGAAAATATTCAGATAATTGATATTTGTAACTAAAATGTTTTAAATTTGGTATTTAAATGTTCAAAACTTAAAAGTTGGTGTTTGTAATTTGGTAAAAGGGAAGCCAGTAAAGGGACTACCTTGTGACCATTATATACCGAAATGCGTACAAAAATAAAGTAATTAATCATAACTAATCCCACCACCCTGCCATATTACTCGATTCCTTTATTTCCATCTAGCCATTCCTTTCCTTACTCTATCACTGTATGCCCTATATAACAATTAGCAACCAACCATAGTTTCAGCACTGGGCGAACCACCAAATCAAATATGAAGAATTGTTTACTTTACAACACGAAATTTCAAATCGGTTTGAATGAAGAGTTTTGCCTTAAATTAGCTTTTGCCCTTTTAAAGTTATTAAATGTAAAATTTCCCTTATATAAAAAATGGCTAAATGCTTAAAAATTAGAATTTGAGTAAAAATGAAACTATTATTCGTAACAGCGTATTTGGCGAAAAGCACTTTTCTTAAGGCCATCCATTTCAGTTAAGCTCAAACTTTTGCAATAATGAAGAGCTTCAAGGAATTGCATAGCTATTAAATATCATTTCAAAAATAAATTCAATTCAACTTAGAATTACAGAAAAATTCCACAACTGTTTTCAAAGTGTCTGACAAACCTGATTCTATGATCAAAGAGTTAGATTTTAGGCATCGAGTACTGAAAACATTTCAGAACAAAATATTTTAAAAGCTTTACAGTTTTACATAAGAAAACGTGCTTCAACTCAGAGAATATAACAATCTGCCTAATTGTATTATAAGGCTTACTTCAGCACTACGTTCTCAAACGAAGGAAGGAGAGCAAATGAATTTCAGATCCTTTCAATGAAAATTTTCTTAAAGCAGAATTAAAATTATCATTCTTTGAATAAAGAACAGCTAATTGATTGTAAGTTTTGACATTTTTCACTACAGTTTTATTAAATTTGTTGTATAAAACAATACAATATTAAGGTACATTTTAAAAATACTAGAGGAGATGGGGGAGTTTTAGGCTCTGCAAGGGAAGGGTACTGATTAATTACTTTAATTTATTTAATTAAGTCTTTAATTCTTTTCAACAGATAGGCGGAAGAGGTTGTCTGTAAAGCCATGATGCATTACTTATATATTCTTCAAAGGCCGTTCTATAAAGAATAATGAGCAGTCAATAGCGCTTTGCTCTATAATTCTGTTTGCTTTCGTTTAATCAGCTTTACAATCCCTCATTCACAAAAGAACCTAGATTTATGAGTGAAAAGCTAAATAAGGTGCTGATTTACGGCCTCATTCAAATTGAATGTTATACCATGGAAGAAATTTTAAAGAGAGGGAAACAAGTGAAAATCTGAAGGCAAAAGATCAGGCTAGTATGATATGAACTCTGAAAGTTTCTGGAAGAGGAATGCGTTGAAACGATCCAGTTGGCGACATCACATGTGCGAACTCATTTGCTGGCTCGTTGATAGGAGCTTGGAAAAACACAGGTCTGCTAGATGAGCATTTCACAGGTTAAGCAACTTTCATGGATGGTTATTAGAGAAACAGCAGATTACAAATATGCTATCTAAATCTAATTTGCATTCTGCTAATGGATGAAGAAAGAAGAGAAACGTAATGAAACGAGTAATTAAAATAAAACACTTAAGTTCCCTAACACAAGTTTCCATAATCAAGACCAACTAGAAGCAGGGGAACATACTACGAAATTTCCCCGCACTTCCCCAAGCAATAACTAATTTCGAAAGGATTGCCAGATTTCAGACTTATGCATATAAATATTTAAATTAATTATTATTAAAAATGTATTTTGATACATATATCGGAAACATACATAAAATATGCAAAATACTAATACTCACGTATATTACGTGCTTGAAATATACGACATTGAATTGTAATTACGACATCCATGAGGCAAATGGAAAGTTAGAATATTTCTACAAAGTTTGGGCCGAAATGTTCATTACCTCTGAATAATTAAAATAGTTTTAAACTTATGTTAAAGTCAGTATACCTCTCTTCTTCCACTCGAAATATTTAGAAAGAATTCTGCCAAAGGCCATAGAAGAAAAAAATATCATTATACCAAGCCAAATCTTTCAATTTAACTGCGTTTAAATCTCGTAAATGCGCAATTTTGGTTTGCTTTTGTGCATGACTAACTTTAATATTTACTCTAACTTTCGATTTCTTTTATCAGTTTCTACTATAGGCAGAAAATAAAGATAAAATTGAAAATAAAGCAGGAAAAAAAAAAAGCTTACTGTTGAAAATGGCACTAAGTTTAGACCTTAAACCAGACATAGCCAATCAGAAGAAGCCAAGAGCCGAAAAGATAATCTGCGCATGTGTGATTTAGAGAAAATTTCACCACGTGGAAAGCTGTTCCGCGCGCTAAAGTGACCGGGAATAATCGATCAGACAAGACCTGAACAGGAGGTGTTTCCCGGGAAATCCAGACTGACTCTCCAGCTTTGCCGAATCTCTCTACGAGACGAAACGGTTTTAGAAGATTCTCTTGCTCTGCTGTTCAGAAAAGCGATTCTTTTATGTGCTTAAATCGAGTTTTAAATGCAAGTTGGCTTTCGCTTTTTCAGAACTTCTTTAGAATGGCCACAGACTGACAGTTAGATTGTAGTTCATTTTTGAATCAGAGAATTTTATTGGTGAAAAATAATCTACAAATTCTGTGCTGTTCTCGATTTAGAAAAGCAAGTGCGATACTAAGCATTCTATACTGAGACATTTAAAAGGTACCTTTTTAAAACTTTACATTTTCAGCTTGTTGACTATTGATATTAGAACAGTTGCAGGGAAACTGCTTCATAGCGGAAGAGAAAATTTTTATGTCAGTAAGAGGCTGTGGGTACAATAACTGTTTATTGTAATTAAGAAAGAAAAAGTTTTTAAAAGTTAAAATCCTTTTTTCGTATATTAAAGAGAAATATTTACTATACCATTTTCTAATAATGTTTTAATCCTTGTTACGGAATAACATTTTACCAAGAAAACTCTTCAAAAATTCTGAATACATCACTTGGTATTGAAATATATTTTCTTTTTATGCTAAAAATTTAAATTTTAGAGAAAATGTTCTTAACGATGTAAAGAAATTTGATGAAAATGTCTCAACACATTTCATTTAAATTCATTTAAATTTCATATTCAATTTTGTATTTCGATTTGATAACACCTTAATTAAAATATTGAAAATATAATAGCTAAAGATTAAAATAGAGTAGATTTGATATCTCTAGAAATAGTGCATTGTTTTTTATTTGTTGACAGGTATTGAAAAGCGATTCAATATTTCTTTTGATTTAGGAAAAATAGAGGATTTATACAATTTATCTGAATTTTATGTGATTATACACGTCTCATATTGAAGCATTTACAAATGTTTTCCCGTGACAGTTTTAAATTATAGATCCACATGTATTTGTTTGAAGACACAATTTTCATTTTAATAGGATTTTATCAAAGAATTACAATTAAAGCTTTACAATTAAAAAGCAATTTCTCGTAGGTTTGTAAGGAAAAAGGCGAAAATATATCTAAGATTTTAAAATACTTGTAAAATCGAACGTGTTTCAAGGATTTTTAGATTGAGAGAGATCTTATTATTCTGATATATTTGTACTGCTACATTTACTTTATATTTCATCGGAAATATTACAATATATTTTTCTCGAACTGATAATATTAGATACCTTAACACAAATAACGTAAAATACTTTGGCAAAACTTGGTAATTCTTGTACCGCTGTGTAGCTAAAGTGTTCAGACTGTTCTCTTCATATGTTTTTAAGTGAATGAACTGAACTACAAAGATATTTAATATGATAAATGATGTTCACAAAAGGAATTTAGTTCGCTATTTAAGATTTAGTTGACAATATTGGAAAAAGATATTCTCAATATCATATTTCTTACATAAAATTCTGAATTTTGCTAAAAACTGCGGCATCAAAAATAACTTTGTGCCATTGTACAGATTCTTCTGAACATTCAAGTTCGTATATGTTACTAATATGTACGGTGACAAAATATTCCGCATGATTAATTAATGCATGATTTCAGGGATTTTATATGTGCGGAATTTGACAACGTTTCCTAACAAATTCGCTGTATATTTAAACCGTTATTGAAAAAAGCTGTGTTTACATTAGCTTGTGGCTTAATTAAAAGTATTTTAAAACAAGATGATTATTTTCTAATTTTTATCAGTTTAAATTTAAATAAAAATTATATAATTGTAATTTCCAAACGCAAAATATGTACTAAAAACAGTTTCACACATCGAAGTCATCTGCATATTTTCTCACTGTTAAATCAATTTTGTGAGTAGTACAGTTTTTTTTATACATATCTGTAAATCAGAAGAAATTTCTTCGCATTAGCTTTGAAAATTTCGAACAAAATTATTCATTTATAAAAGCCATGAGATTACTGTACAATTAAAAAATAGTGCGTGAAGTGAAATCGTATGTAAATGAAAGGCAAACATGAAGGAGAAATCTAAAATTGATTGTTAACAATTGACCATAAAGAAATATTATAAATCGCACTAAAGATATTTATTTAAGCGATTTAATTTCATAAACTGCAGTATATATCAGTGATCATAAAGATATAAATTGCACCAGATTTCAATGACTATTACAGATATATTATTTCCGAAATGTCTGTATCCTTGTAGAAAGGAGCAATCGGTAACAGAGAGAAACGTTTCATTCTTTTGGAAGTGTGAAAAGACTTATTTATTCTTCGAAAAAACATATTTTTGGCACTAAAAGGACAATTATAGGAATCCCACGTTTTTCTTAAAGATATACTGCACATAACTCTTACTGGCAAATATTTGTTTCTTGTAAGGAGATACTTACGTGTTAGTGATTTGCGTGAACTGTAAATTTTATTAACAAGAGTTAGCCACTTTGCAGCATTAAATCTTAATCTTGAGGGACGAAATTTCGGACATTCAGATGGAAGACGGCGAACTGTTCAATTTGGACAGCCCAAAGCGGCATTCTGACCCTGCACCTTGCACCAGTAAAGATGGTCATTCTACCGCTACAGCATTCACATTCAGCGTACCAGACTTAAGGAGTTATGGATCTTCACGAGCATCATCTACTTCTCCTAACCGTAGCCCCCTACTGGATGGGACAGCCCGAGCAGGTACACCAAGTCCAGCTCGACACAGCCCTGCAGCTACAAGGCGTGGACGTGGGCACAAGCATAGGAGATTCAGCCATGGTGCAGTAGCCAGTCCAGGAACCATCAACTATTTCAGTACAGCTCCTCGCAGAGCTACGCATCCAAACACTTCTCCTGGAAGGTACAGAAGAGGTACTCTTTGGCATGATGAAGACCCTTGGCACCAATACAGAACTCGAGCTAGTAGTATCCCCATACCAAACGGAGATGACAAACCCTTCATGGCTGAGGAAGGAGGATATTATAGACTCAGAAGTTTTAGTGTCACGTCCAAGGGCATCGTAAATTTAGGGGATTTTGTCAGGGCCAGATCCCCAAGTGTTACATCAGACGAATCAAGTTCAGGAGTGGAGCAAGACTGCAGAGACCGGTTATCTTCTGTGGAATCGACAATGTCCCAACCACCAACGACAACAAGGTATAAAGTGCTTCTGCTAGGAGCGGAAGAAGTCGGCAAGACGTCTATTGTAGCACAGTTTACAACGTCTGAATGCCTCACAACAGTGGCAACTGACATACAAGAGTCTTTAGGTGAGTAAATTTTTGTTTATCTATTACTTCCTTTAAAAATTTAATGATTTCTACTTACTTTAAAAATTAAGATCCAGTTTGGTTTAATATCTTCAGACAACTTGAAACCTTAGACCAGATACTAGATTAAGTAAACAAATATACCTCCTCAAAACAAATTATTATTATTCCGGCATTGCTGTTAACTGTGTATAAACTGTAACCAAACATACTGCTTCTTTCAAAAATTCTGTTCGTAACTGGGTTAGTTTAGTTGAGTTTCTTGCCTGGGGGGGTTAAAGAAAGTGTTTTGAGTTACTATTAAAATTTCTTGTACAGAATTATTTATAATACAATTTTTTAAGAAATATGAAACATAACGGAGCACATCTTTGATTGTACAATACAGTAAAGTGTAAAATGATATCATTATTGGCTCTTCTAACTAAATAAATTTATAGAAGAGAAAGTAGTTCTTATGTGAGCATCTCACAACCGCTTATTGATTAAAATGTGATTGCTGAAAGCGGGTAACTCGAACTAGGATCGAATCCTGCCGAACGGGCTGACTCGGGGAGATTTCGTACTTTTCCTGCGTGTAAAGTAAATACTTGCTGGTTTCTCTTAAAATCGAAGAGGATGAGGTAAACATTTCTCGTATATTTTGTAATTTTTACGTAAACTGTGCAAAAAAAAAAGGACAGTTTTCTATCTCCCGTTCTACTGAGCCGATTGACAAAATTCAAATTGCCAATTTCATGTCTGAAAGCGCGACTTGAGGTATATATTAAATTTTTTTATAGCATTGTTCTAACATAGGCATTTTGACACAAAATCGAACGTTTTCTGAAATAACATACCAATCTTTTTCCAAATTTCGATTCTATGACTCAAATTATGCCTAGATATTAAATTTTGTAAAATTTGGTGCGAAATTTACGGAGAAATACAAAAATTTATCTTGGCGCTCTTTTTTTCAGTTTGGGCCAAGAATAATTCACTTGGCGAACTTCTTAATACATTTCCCTTTCCCTTCCATTATGCCAGAGTGGAAAAAAGGGCACCTTGTTCCTACCTTTTTACATTGTTGCGTGAGGGGGAAAATGTCACATCTTTCCTACTTTCAAATAATTTTAGCAAAGTGTCTATACCACATTTGATATTTTATCGCTTTCAACAAATATGCCAAATTTCACAACGCGCCAATATGTAAATTCACGTATATCTCCGGAAATGTTGAATAAGGAACTGTAATTTTTTTTGCAGGTATGGTTACGTATTACGTTGGTATACGTAAACTTTAAGATTATGGTAAAACATTTATGGATTATAATTCAAAATATTTTTTAAAAAGTTTATAAAATTGATTTAAAAATACAAATTTAAAAAATAAATCATAAAAAGTGGAATAAACCAGAAATTCGAAATGTGAAAGGAAGAATCAGGTAAGTTTAATTAAAAATATAGATTAATAAATATATATCAAACACAATTAATACTGAGGAGCTAAAATTTTGAAAGCTGATTTTTTAAAAACTACTAGTGCGATTTTTACAAAACTTGGTAGTTGGCGTAATTTCGGTCCTGGAATTGAAATATGGAAAAAAATTGGCATGTTATTTTAGAAAAAGTCCGATTTTTTTGTCAAAATACCTATATTAGAACAATGCTATATATAAATCTAATACATATCCTAAGTCCTAGAAAACCCAAAATTAAATTTATTAGAAAGCACAGTAGAGTATCTGTTCAAAGGAAGAGACTAATTGGTAGATGACTGGCTAAGGGAAATTAATTCATACTTCACGTTACACGTGGAGATAATCATGAAAACCTCCATACAGCCATTCCATTAAAAACTAGATTTTCAAAGAGATCAGTTGGCTTATCTGGTATCAATTATCCTAAACTCGTTTAGATTAATATTTGAGAAATGAATCTCACTTGAAATTCAAGTGCGATAAGCAATGAAATTCAATGCAGTTGAAATTTAATTCAACTTAATGCACTTAAAATTGAAATTCAAATGAGCAATAGTCTTCGAAATTTTGTGATATTTCTTCCCGTACAAGGTAAGTAATGATAAACATAGAATGTTCGATAAGGAAAGACATATTTCTCAGTTCATATTCAAATACTTCAATGAAAACTTGGCGTAATTTAGAGTTTCATAGTCTTATAAGATATGCGCCGGAAAGAAACAAACTAATTCTGACTGAATATATTTAATTCTTTTAAAAAAATGAAAGACGAGAAGATTACGAAATTTTTATTTTGCTATTACTATCAAATTTAGTAGAAATTCTGTAATTTTCCATTATTACAATAATGGAAAAAAAGAAAAGAATTAATTATCGCTACTTATTATTCACCATTTTTTTTTTTCAGGGAAGGGAACTAGAGCTGAAATGATTAAGATATTAGAAACGGTAACGTAATAAAAGCAAACGATTCAAAAGGTCAAATGTAAAGCCTTCTCACGTTATCCTTACAAGACTGAAAAGATGTTCATTTAAGGAAAAAGGTGCAATGGAAATAAATATATTTTTATCGGCATATTTAACAAAACCGTAAACGTTTCTTCCCCAATTACGAGGAGGACGATGAAATCGATTTTAACTCAGCGATTTAATTTGTACCTTATCAACATAAAAGACTTCGTTTGTATATATAAAAAGAAAAGAGTTTCATGCTCTGATCACTGGAATAAAAAATGGAATTAACCTCTTTCTTTTTCCTTCTACACGTGAGTCTCATTTAATCTACGATAACATTTAATTTATTCTTTTAATTGTAAAATTATTTGTTCAATGCATAGGAAATTGCTGTATTAGTAATTTATTTCAGGAAATTGCCATATTTATTATATGTATTTGTTACTTGTGTTTATGTTATAAGGTATTTCTCCCACTTCCCTAGCGTGTCTTCGTGGTGTAACGGTAGCACACTGGGCCGGTGTTCCAGGGGTTCGTGGTTCGATTCCCGGCGAAGGCTGTTGCTAATTTTTCATCTCTCTGGCTTCCGAAAAAAACCTAATGTCTCTACAACGTGTACAGCATGATCCAAAATATTTGACAAAAATATAAAGGCGGGTAAAGTATACCTAAATAAACAAATTTTCCAATGACATGTGTGTGCCAAAATCGCAAGTTAAGGTGGACAGGGAGCTGTTCAGCGGTAGGTAAAAGTGCTGTGCTAGCGTAAAATGGTAGTTTCCGTGTGGGTTTCGAATGATATGCAACACTACACGAAAGCCGAGTTCATCGACATGCATTTTACCCATGGAGCTGCCGACGGCAATGGAGGAGCTGCCTAAAGATGTATTGAATCGTTTCTTGTACCCTCTTCGAGTAGTTTCGCCGAATGACCTCATAAATAAAATGCATGTATATTAACTGCGAGATAGCGTAGCTGTGGATACCATTCAGAATCCTCACAGGAAATGAGGATTTACACCTCCAGAACGGTAAGACTTATTTATTTACCACTCAGTTACGCCCTATCACCTCAACGTGGCATTTCGGCTTTGCTTATTTCGGTCCGCTCTACTTTAAGTTACATTTTTCGCAGACATTTTTGAATCATACTGCAGATGTTGAGTGTAAATGCAGAAAACTATCTGTAATGAAATTCCTCCCCCCCCCGGATCAACGTAGAGAACTCTAGGCAGTCTCAGCCACGGGGGTATAAAAGTTATGATATTAGTGGTTCTGGAGTCCCCGGAATATTGGCCGGCCCGGTGGTCTGGCAGATCCTAGAGCCGTACCGATGGGGGTAGCGCCCTCGTATTCTCTGGGTAATGTTCCACTGCAACAGGCAGTCCCAGCGACTGGCAGGTAGGAAATCTGACGACCAGTGTCGCCTTTGACAATGCGCCTTCTCTCCAAGGTGCGAGAGCGGAGGTTGAACATCTGTGCCTGGTTCTAAGGGGCGAGGAAACCTGTAGTGCGGTTCAGTCTCGCGAGGCAGGGAAGCCCAACTCTTGTAATGAAATTTACCACATTATCTATAAAGAAATTTCATGGGAGAAAATGAAATAGGATGGCTGAGCATTGATTATACAACTTCAAAGTGATACCGTATTAAGCTGTTACTGTTAAAATACCATATATTCCGGCATACAACGCCATTTATAATTCCAAGTAATATTTTCAAATTTTAGGTACATACGTTACGAAGAAACCTTAAAGATACATATGCGATGCTGCTAATTTTCTGAAGTAGTTCATTCAAAGATTTTCGCATGCTTTCCAACAATGGTATACTGAATTGACAAGCAATAAGGGGAACAATATTTATGTGAGGAAAATGCTTGAGGGAAAATATAATTCTGCAAAGAGGGTGGGCTTTAGTCAATGCAGGTGTGCACGAGAATGTTGTTCTAGGGTTTCTAGAAAAAGGGAAAATTATGCTATATGAATGAATATGCGACCCGAATGAATTCGCGGAATTTTGAAGCTATGAGTTTGAAGTGAACATCGAAGGCTTTTAGCTGAAGTACAGTTGATCTAGTGCTCCTTTTAGTAGCAAATATGGCTCCTAACAAAAAAAAAAAAAAAAAAAAAAAAAAAAAAAAAAAACATAGTTCTGGTATCAGATGCAGTCATTCAGTTTGCTAAAGAAAATGGAAATCTGCAGCAAGAATGCTTGGTATTTCTGAAAGCGCCATACGTGAGTAGAAGAAAAATGATATCACGATAATTAATATGCCAAAGAATAAATGTACTTTTCTGAAAGAGGGAACGAAATGGCCTATCCTAGAAACCATTTCGTCGAAGTGTTTCTAGAAAAGGTCCCTAGAAAAAATTGAAAAGGCCCTAGAATTTTTTTCTAGGGCTCCAAGGCCCTAGAAAAAATTGCCAGTAACAGCCCTTAGGTACATGTACAAACTAAATTTTTGTATGCTCATCATTTCTTTATTTTTAAATCAATCATTTTTAAATCCGGGTATAACGTGCACCCATAAATTTCGATCACATTTTTTTTTCTTTACAAGCGCGCGTTATATTCCGGAATATACAGCCGTTACTGAAAAGAAAACAGGTCTTCTGTGAGTATATAAACATAGTGGTCAATTACATTTATTCAATTTCAACACATAAAAAAAAAAAAAAAAAAAAAAAAAAAAAAAAAAAAAATACGATGATATAGGAACCAAAACAAAATGTCGCCAAATTTGGCGACGTTTGGCGATTTCTAGCCAAATTTGGTGACAAAAGAAGTTTTTCCAACCGTTGTTAGCTTGGCGATACCTCGGGAAATTACCGAGATACACGTTTACTCGATGTTAAATGCACTTGTCCCTGTCAGATTCTTTACGTTACAGAAGAAATACAACAATTTTACTTATAACTGTACTCAAATTACCTATCTAAGGACAAAATTCGTAACAATAGTCACACTTTAATAAATAACTCTTTCGTAATTTATCATTTATTTGTGGCAATAGCAACTGATTAGTAACTGAAAATTGGTATTGAACAGCCCTTCCGCATTAAATCTATAATAATAAAAGCAAGTGTAATGTGTCTGTCGTCTGTCTGACCGAGCTCTCCAGCCAAATCTATCGCACGCAGGGACCTGGAATTTTTTATACGGAAGCACAAAGGGGCTGGCCACCAGACCTCGAAGCCCGATTTTCGATTTTTGAATTAGAAAAATTTAAAAAAAATTATTTATAATTAATTAATCACGGTTTTTTTGACTCACTGATATTATTATTTGTTTTCAAATAACGTTCGATTGTAACAATTGATTTCTTTATTCTAGCGTTAGTTTGCTGTTTTGACGATACATTAAATCGATTAATTACAATTCATTTCTTTTTTGTAGCTTGTGGGGGGGGAAGAGAGAGAGACAGTCTACATGTCCTACACTACTATTCCTGCGCTATTCACTTATCTGCATTTTCTAAATGCACGGGCAACGCCGGGCGGGTACACCTAGTTATTAATAATTTCCATTGGGAAATATCATTTCTAAGAATATTTTCATAGAATTTAATGCTATAAGAGTAGATTGAAAGCGAAACTTTCATACTTATTTTTGAAGTTCGTTATGCATTATAAGACATTCAACATAATTTTGCATAAAACTTTGTTGTAATATTTATAGTAAATTGGTTGGTTCTCCGCTCTATATTTAAAATACTAGTTTATCAAATATTAATAAACTTAAAGAGGGAAGATTTTGCAACGGTGATATAGAGAAGAGTGTAAATATTGGAAAAACATTAACCATGCAGGATTGCTATTGATCTGGAAACTGAAGTTAAGTCTTACAGACACTACTAGGCAAGTCAGCGAGTTATCGCTACTTCTCAAATATTCACAAAGTACTGAAGAAAGTTTTAAATAGCTTTTTATTTAATCTAATTTAAACAGAATTAAACAACTTGTGTTTCAAACAGAAACTACCATTTTTGGCCATTCAGATTAAGCAATAATAGAGAATAAGTTTCAAACATTGGTAACGTAGTCTAATACTGCGCAATTACTGGAATAAGAAATAAATTGGCTCAGAGTTCTTTTATCGGCCCGCAAGTTTAAAGCAATCAGCTAGTGAGAATGCAAAAGCCGGAATATTACTTTTAAACAGAATTATTGAAAACCTAAAAGCAAACGGCAGTGCCGGAAGCTCTCTTACTCTAAGATTCAGAAACTCTCAGCTTAAATAGTCTCTGAGCAAATTTGCATTCACATGAGAATACAGAAAGAAGTTATAGTAAAGATCAGGATCATAATAACTAGTTAATTAAGATAAGAATCTTATAGCGATGCAACTGAATAGTACAAAAGATGCCATTACTTACGTATATGTCATCGAAGCGAAGAACAGAATGAAGATCCAGTAGGTAATTACCGTTCTTACCGTCTTAGACAGGCATCCTACAGAGTTTGATGTAATATATCCATAGGAATCTAGATTATTCTCTCATGCAAAAGTGAAGAACTAAAACAAGAAATATGTGAGATTTCTCGGGCTCCTGTGGACATATTGTGTCGAGCTATGCAGAATTTCCGTATGAAAGAAATTGGAAACTTCTACCCTACGTCATTTTCAAGGCACAGACCTATTTATCTCAACAGCAGTACGCATACGTGTATTTGCATCCTCTGCAGTATTACCGCAGAACTTCCGGTTTGTTCTTAGGTGGTCGTTACATAACTGCAATTTTGAAGATGACTTGAAATTTTGGAGCATGGAACATGAAACAACTGTGCCATCGCCGGAGTTCGAAACTCGGATCTCTCAGTTTCTAATCTAATTTCTTTTACAATGTGAACGCGGGCACGAAATGCTGTATTCCTTTATACTTAAAATACGAGAAAAGAGAGGTAGGACACCCAATCAATAAACCCAGGTGATTACAATCATTTATAACATTTTACTTCGGACGCCACACAAACACTGTTAAACATTTCAGGTCAGGAAATTTGAGAAATAAATTGTACTCTTGCTTGGATTTAAAACACCGACCTCTCCAGTTTGATAAGTATATGTACTATAACTAAATTGTAATAATTTAGTAATTGTAATGCGACAGTCCTTGCAAGATCTTCATATTTTTCTAAGTGACATTCAGAGAATTTTTACTTTAATTTTTATAGTGATGTGTTGTTTCTTTGGGACATTATTTCGCAATAGTTTTAACATCAAAATGTATTGCAGATGTAATATCTGCCTGCTGTTTAGAATTAAAATGCAGTTTGGATGCCATTTA